TAGGGGCCTTAAAAGTTGGAATAGGGTTGTGGGGTACATTATACTATATTTATGGTAAGGAGCCCCCAGAATAGCATTGGTAATTATTAAGGCCCCTGTATTAATGCACACACCACGCGCAGAAGAGATCCGCAACATGGAAGATGACTGAGCATGGCCGGCTGCCACAACTGAATTTGACGGTGGGAGGGCGTGACAGTGTGCGAGCCCATGGGCGGCTTTCGAGGATCGACCCGACCTCCGCGAGAAGCACGTTCGGGTCCAGCATGTTCCCTGATGAGGCGAGATATCTTTTGTGCCGAAGGGGGAGGAGTGGCGGAAGACAAACCGTAGCAGGGCACATCCACCATCGCAAGTGTTCGGATCATTGTCTGGATCGCAAGATATCCACAACGACGGGGCGTCGCACGGCGCAGAAGAAGTCGTTACCTAGGGAATGCCTAGCCTCATGGTTTCAACTACAACGAACCTTAAAAACCCTAAACCCAAAGTCCTAACCCTAAACCCTGATCCCTAAACCCTAAACCCTAAGTCCTAGCCCTAAACCCTAAACCCTAAACCCTAAACCCTAAACCCTAAACCCTAAACCCTAAACCCTAAACATGAACTATAGGACCCTAAACCCGAAAGCCCGGCCTAAACCCCTTTGCAAACCACAAGGCTTCTTTGTTTCACGGTTTAGGGCTTAGGGCTTGTTTGTTTGTGGGCTTTGGGTTTAGGGTTCAGGATTTAGGGTTTATAGGGCTTAGGGCTTGTTTGTTTGTGGGCTCTGGGTTTAGGGTTTAGGGCTTAGGGCTTGTTTGTTTGTGAGCTTTGGAGGGTTTAGGGTTTAGGGCTTATGGCTTGTTTGCTTGTGGGCTTTGGGTTTAGGGTTCAGGATTTAGGGCTTGTTTGTTTGTGGGCTTTGGAGGGTTTAGGGCTTAGGGCTTGTTTGCTTGTGGGCTTTGGGTTTAGGGTTTAGGGCTTGTTTGCTTGTGGGCTTTGGGTTTAGGGTTTAGGGTTTAGGTCTTAGGGCCTGTTTGTTTGTGGGTTTTGGGGTTTAGCGTTTAGGGGCAAGCCAGTTGCCAAGGCACACAAGGCTGCATTCACCTGGACCATGCCCTCCTCGAAGGTTACGCCATACCTGGTTCCCTGTTGGGGGCTGTATGGGTTTAGGGTTTAGGGTTTAAGGTAATCCTTATTGGGTGTTTATTATAACAAAAATATAAAAACTGTTTCCGACAAGGACCCAGAGACTTGTCGTGCTCATGGCCAAACAAATGAAGCCGGGGACGGCTCTCCCGGACCTTGGCCTGGGGCATGTTTAGGGCTTGGGGTTGAGGGGTTTAGGGGTTTAGGTGTTTAGGGTTTAGGTGTTTAGGGGTTTAGGGTTTAGGGTTTAGGGTTTAGGGTTTAGGGTTTCGGGTTGCGGGTTTAGGGTTTAGGGTTCAGGGTCTCGGTTTCTGATAGAATCTTTGCCACCACGGCTTTTGGGGTTGATTTGAAGCTTTAGGGTCGCTTGCTATGGGCTTCCGGGCTGTAATGCTGTAGACTAAAGTACAGCTTCTAGGGCAGTTTAGTTTACCCAACTACCGGGCTCTTCCTGAGGCACCTGACCCCAGTTACCATGACCAAGTATAACCTTGTTGCTAAGACATCTGTCTCGACACTTTTCTACATAGAACAAAAATGTTACCCTAACTCTAAACCCTAAACCCTAAACCCTAAACCCCAAACCCTAAACCCCAAACCCTAAACCCTAAAGCCTAAACCCTAAACCCTAAACCCTAAGCCGCCCAATTGCATGCCAGACTGGGCTTGCCATGGATGGTCCATGGGTCACCAGCACGTCGCAGTGCGGAGGAGGAAGGGACAAGCGTTCATCGTCCGCAGCGGGCTGAAAGGCTCGATTCCTGGGTTTATAGGGTTTAGTTTAGGGTTTAGGGTTTAGGGTTTAAGGTTTAGGGTTTAAGGTTTAGGGTTTAGGGTTTAGGGCTTAGGGGTTCTGTAAGACATATTCTGAGATTGTTACTAATGTAGGGGCCTAGATAATTACCAATACTACTTTTGGGGGTTCCTTATTAGAACCATAGTATACTATAGGACCCTATACTAGGCCTTAAACGGGACTTGTATGCTTCTTGCTTGGTAACTTCGTTGGATGTGCTATAAATAACAATAGCAGTTTCTATTTCATGATGGCAACTCAGACACAATACGACACGAGAAGTTTCTATTTTATGATGGTAACTTTCTATTGAGTTTCTGAACAGGATCCCAGATTCACCGACATCGGATTCACCCGGATAGACCATGGGCAGCCTGCAACGACCAAACCGCCGGCATCTCGACTTCCGCATAGATCCGGGTGCAGATATCCTGGACTATTCTTGGGAACCGAATCGACTTCATTGCTGTTGTTATGTGTTGATTTGTAGTTGTTGTTCAGACTGTAATATATTCTAGTCTATTTACTATACTTTTCCTACTTTTCTTAATATAGAAACCAACTATTAACCCTAGCTTAAGAACCCAAAACCCACTTTTCTGTAGGCTCTTATTATAAACCCTATTATGGGATTTATGGGGACCCTGCAAAAAAGTAGGTTTTGGGTTCCAGTCTCGAACACCGCAGGCTGCGAGAACCTGGGCCATGCGGTCTGGCCCCAGGTCCTCGAAGACTCTGTCGTGGTTGCCACCTGCTTACTGGTGCTTATAAGGGCTTAGGCTTAGGGTTGAACCCTGAACCCTTGAAAAAACCCAAACAAAACATAAACAAAAAACCCTACACCCTAAACAACATTAAAACCCTAAAAAACCCTAAGCCCTAAATAGGGTGTAGAAGCGCTTCGGGCTTTTAGGGCTTCGGGTTGAAGGCTTTTAAGGCTTCGGGGAGAGTGGGTTCCCATAATGGTCGCTACATGATCCCCTATATAGTAGCCCTATATTCCTCAACGGGACTCTAGCCCTAAACCCTAAACCCT